AACCCAGAGGTAGAAGGAAGCTATTCTTGCTTAAATTTAGTCCAGCTTCTGTTCTGAATGTATAGTGTTAATTTTGCCATTGCTGTATATTCCCCAAGTTTGGCCTCAATATGTCTTGATATTATTTCACATTCTGATACCCATCCAAGCCAGAGAAGACTTTTTTTCTTGTGAGGTCTTGCCATCTTTCGAGTCGGGCGATTCTAGGGCTGGGTAAGATCATTCTTCTGGAAAAGAAGAATTCTATAGCTGTTCCTAATACCTGCGTGCAGGATAGGAAATAAACCAGAGAGCCTTCATGAGATCACCTGAAAGAGGGCAGGAGCTCCTGATGGGCTCCTGAACCCCTTCCAATCTTGTTACTCAACTGTAACCTTTAGCACAACAGAAGGCAGAATGATTACATGGGAGTGATTGTAATAATAAATTCATGCAACTAAAACAAAAGTGTATTTAAGTCATCTAACTTAATTTTAATTTTACTTAAATGCAAAGTTATATTAAATCAGATCTGGATTTTGCCCATGCCAAAGCTGGGCAGTCATGGGACTCCAACAAGTTATACACCCCAGCTGTAGGAGCTCAGCGCTGGACACATGGCTGCTGCCTCCCGTTATGTCTTTACAAGAATTGCCCCCCAGCCCCATACAAATCATGAATGGAAGGATTTATACCACCCCATTTCTTTATGAATTGTTGATTTCAAACACTTTGGATCAGTTTTGGCTGTTGACGTAAATCACAGACTAAACTGCCTTTCACTAGGTAGATATAATTCAGATCCAGTTCAGAAGCTTCTCAACACGGTTCTTACTGTAAAAAATAACTGGTCTTTCTCAAGCTATTTGTACCCTAGATATCTATATGTGCGAGAATATAGTCCTGAAATAGGAGTAAATGAATGAAAAGATTATATGGAAATGAAATCTTTCTCATACCCTTTTGTTTCTTGTTCCTTTTGCTTATTATTATTATTATTATTATTATTATTATTATTATTATTATTATTATTATTATTGTGGTTTGTCCTTCTGTTGTCCTCAGAAGAGGACCAAGCT